ATAGAAGTAGGTCAATCGGGATGGAGTTGCAATAGTTGAGACGAGATCTAACTAGTGTGTAGATTAGTAACGTTGTGGTTTCATTAGGTAGTAAGGGGCGTATTTTGGAAATCTTGTGAAGGTGAAGGCGACAGGATGATTCCAGTATTTCCCGGGTCATCTGTCTACTTATTGGTGCTTATTTATGACAATTCTAACTAGGGATCCACCGATATATCGGCCACCGAAACATATCGGCCGAAAATGGCACTTTTAGCAAAATGCCAAAGGTGCCATTTTCTGGCCGATACAGCGGTGCATCCTATTCTATTTTCACCGCTGGGTTCAGCTCTGTGTCCCAGCGGGGAGGAGAGAAACTGTCACAGGCGGCCGAGCGCTACGGGAGGAGAGCGCTGTAAGCGGCCGGCGTCTCCCCTCCCCGCACCGCTCAGCCTCCTGTCACAGATCGGGAGAGTAGTGTGTGGGCGGAGACAACCAGTGCTGGCACAAAAGGGTGAGCTCCGCTCACTCAGCTTCCTGTGACAGCGTGTCAGGAAGGAGAGCGAGTACAAACAATCAGTGATTGCTAGTACATAATTGAGGACAGAGTATGGTTACTATGTCCTCAATAATGAAGTGATCTACATCACCTCCTGTTCATTCATGATTGTGGTTATAGTAATAATACTCTGTCCTCATGTTATCAATGAACAGGAACACTTAGTATAGAGGATTCCTGTTCATTTATAACAGGGGACTCTGTCCCCAATCTCTTTTTTTTCTATTTGAAAAGAGAAATATCAGGAGTCTGTTTAGACCTCCAATATTTCCCCGAAGCCCCTGGAAGTAAAGTAAAAAAGACTCTGTCCCCAATCTCTTTTTTTCTATTTGAAAAGAGAAATATCAGGAGTCTGTTTAGACCTCCAATATTTCCCCGAAGCCCCTGGAAGTAAAGTAAAAAATAAAAATATTTAATAAAAATGAATAAAAAGGTAAATATAAAAAAATGAAAGTTTTTATAAAAATCAAATATTTAACATTTTTCTCATTTATAATAAAAATGTTTTTTCGGTTTTGACATTTTCATTTCGGTGCACCTCTAAACAAAATGGTTTTGCTTTCTGCATTGCTGTGCATTGTGGAAGAGATCAGAACTGAATCCTCCTATAGAATCTTCATATGCTGCAACGCTAAAGTTAATCCATTAGATTATAATGATGCTTATATATTTCTTGTTTTCCTTTTATTTTTGTAGTTCTGCAGCAACATTTGGCAGATATAAATGTCGATGGACCAGATACGGGGTATGGACACTGGATTGCCGGTACATCAGGCTCACGTACCACTTTGGGTCCCTATGCAGATGTAAGTCATTAGGATACATTTTAGCCTGTTTATACCCAATTAGATTCCTCATCCAGTTCAGCAGATTAAAGCGCAAATTCGTGAAAGCGAATGTGGTGATTTCTGTACATTTGCTTGCAAGGGCAAGCAATTACTCAGTTCTGCAAATGAGCGGTGATCATCACAAGAGGTCTCCACTCATTCAGTCAGTGAAATAAAACGTAACCCTCAGCTCTTTTGTTCATTGTCATAGACGTTAGCAGTAATCTGCATGAAGAAGTAGTTTTGAATCTGGCAAGGGAACTTTTCTTTCTTAAAGCTGAACTCTGCTTCTAGCTACACAGAAGACATGCACACATCGGAGTGGGTTTACCTGCCAAATGATTTGTACTTCTATCCATCCACTTCTAAGATTTACACAGCTCTGCCACTGTTTGTTGGGGCAAAAGACCTGACTTTTCTGTGCTGTAAGTTTAAGCAGTATTCCAGGCAGATCAAATATTAACCCTTTGCAGTGGGGCTACCCCCGCACTGCAAGGGTTAAATGCTAATTTTGTCTAGGTGGCAAAATAACAAAGTTATACAAACCTTGCAGTTGGCTGGCTTGTACACCGCTACCCTCCAGCCTGTCTCCTCTTCAGAGATTGAAAGTCCCTCTGCGTCCTCAGGTTCTGTATATAATGTGATGACTCGCAGGACCTTAGCCCACTGGAGCGGAGGGGGAGCGAGGCTGAAGGGACCAGTCTAGAGCAAGCTGGAATCGTGGTTCGGGTGAGTATAACTTTATTTTGGCGCCCTAGACAAAACAAGCCCTAATCCTTTGAGTGCAGGGGTAGCCCCACTGCAAGGGTTAAGATTTGATATGCCTGGGGTTCTGCTTCAAATAACTCCTACAGGTCTTGTTTCCTCGCCCAGTTGGTGATTGGACAGTGAAAGGAAGGGAATATGCAGGCTGAGGAGTTCATCTTCCTCTCGATTTGCTCTCTCCTCCGATTTTGCATGCCCCTTGTTAGCACATGAGCTTTGCAGCACAAAGGATTGTTTCTGTGTACTGCTTCTCTCTCCTAATGAGTGCTGATGTTCAGGGGAATGCAAAAGGTTGATACCAGGTCAAAATTAGGTACTTGCTTTGCTTGCATTAAAACAAAATGTAAACAAGTTAATCTGCGCTTCTGGAGGGGGGTGGTAATATAGGAATAAATGAATATGTGAATAAAATGTGAATGAATAATTAAAACCCGAAGCTGCTCTGAAGAGGGATAAATCCTAATATATAAAACAAAATACTTTGATTTATAAATGGTTAAAGAGCTGCATTATTTTCTGTATATGATATATATGCCTGGAATTCAGTTTTGAGAATGAATTGTTTGTGGATAGCTTTATGACTCTGTTTTCCTTGTAGGAGGATTCTCCTAATGGTGTGGCTGACGGGAGAGGTGTGAAATCTTTAGTTAATAAAATGACCGTAGCATTAAAAACCAAATCTGTGAATGTGAAGGAAAAAGTGATCAGCTTCATTGAAAACACATCCACTCCAGTAGAAAGGTGAGTTTATTCCCTTGATTGATGAGTTTGAGTACAGTACAGGCAGTCCCCGGGTTACGGACATCCGACTTGCGCACAATCCATACTTACGAACCGTTGTCCACAGTTCTCCTAAATGTACTGGCAGCTGCCGGTACATTTAGGAGAACTGTGGCTGCAGCAGCCTGTGTCCCTTCAAATCCCCACTGCTCTCCGCGCCTGTGTTGGCGGAGGCAGTGGGGACACAGACCGCTGCATTCCTACGCTGCCCCCCTTACCTCGGCTGATGTCCCGGCGTCGGCTTCCCCGGTCCGGACGTTCCTCCGCTCTCCTGGTAGGGCCGCGGCTACTCTGCCCCGCCCCCCTGCCTCCTCTTCATTGCAGGCTTGGAGCCATACCCAGCCTGCTATTGGCTATTGTAAAATGCATTAGCAGGCTGGCTATTGCACCCGCCCACTGCCTGCTGTCAATCAGCATTGGAGGACCTGATGGAGAACTTTCTCCTTCAGGCCCCTCCTCTGCTGATTGACAGCAGGCAGTGGGCAGATGCAATAGCCAGCCTGCTATTGGCTATTGCAATTTGAAATATCCAATAGCAGGCTTGCTATTGCTCCCAGCATTAAAATAAAAAAGTTTAATAAAAAATTTAATTAAAAAGTCGAAAAAAAGGTTAAATAAAAATGTAAAAATGAAACAACAAAAAAATCAAGTATATAGAAAAAAAACGTTTTTTGGTGTCATTTTAAATTAAAAATGTTTTTTATTATATTATCTTCTGAACAACAGGAACAGACAGCAAAACAAACGTCACCCTTCCCTATGCTATCCAAAACTAAAAAAAAAATTTTTGGCTGGAGTTACACTTAAAAAAATTTACCTGTTCTGACTTGCATACAAATTCAACTTGCGTACCACCCTAAAGTCCCTAACTTGTATGTAACCCGGGGACCGCCTGTATTGCTGTCGGCACTTTATAAAAAACCAAAAGTTCATCTCTTATATCCTGGTGCTATATTTGCTGATGTCTGGATCCAAGTTTTTAATGTCCTGAGACCAGTCATGAGTTCCAGCTCACTTAGTTTTGCAAGTCAGAGTGCCCTTTGGCCAGCTCACAGTCCAAACCTGGGCCAAGAATGTTATCAGTAGTTGTTTTGGCTCTAAAGAACACATCGCTTTCATAGAGGTTGGTGAATGTATCGAGAACATAAATGTGCTTTACAAAGGGAAAAACACATTTTACTATTTCTTTCTATAAATTTCCACATGAAAGCATGTTATGTTTAATAGAGGAACACCATTGCATTGCATTAGAGTCAAATTCCTTGGAAAGCACGATTTCTGTATGCAGTAAGGGATTTTTACAATATGACAGTGGCCCTTTACAGTAGAACAAGGCTTGGGATTTGGAGAATGATTGGAAAGATTGAATGGCTTTCCAATGTATCAGTACATAGAACTATGGGCCTGCAATTCTTTTTTTTGTTTTTTTTTTTTATATGGCACACAAAATAAATGAAAGCTTCTCATCTTTTTACGTGGTCTAATTTACGTGGTCTTATTTACGTGGTCTTATTTCCACCTAACCTTTTTCTGACTTCATAATGAACCTGTCGGGAACACTGTTACTTGGATCAGCCAAGGCTCCCAATTTGTATTAGGGGCTTGTCTGTGTCCTAGAAGTAAAGCTGTTCTAGGGTGTGATCTCCTGTGGAACACAATCCCAGCATTTAGCAGAGATATAATCCAGCAATGGATGAAGAGACTGCTGGGCCAGGTAACACCCAGCCTGACGGGTTCCTTTTACTAATCTCTAATAATAGAAGTCATTACTGTTCGCACTGGTTTGTAATCATATTAAAATGTCCCATAACATATTGAAATGTCTCATATCAGTGATGTAATCTTTTTCGGTTTGTATCCCGTGCCTCAATGGTGCTCTAGAATCACTTTCAATCTTCCCTGGCCAGAGAGGGCGAGTTTGGAGCGGTAAGCTGTAGTGAGCTGTGATTCTTCCACCTTCTCCACCCCTGAGCACAACGTCTTGCTGTGTGTAGACATCAGTCACGCTGACACTTGCCAGGAGTCGCCCACTGTCACATTGTTACTAATGACACGCTGCTTAAGGGCCCATTTAAATCTTAGTGTCCTGGTGCGTTGTATTAATGCACATGTGTTAACACATGCTTTTTTACGCTTTATCCTGTTTTGGATTAAGACCGCCGTTCAAGTAAATGGGCTGGCAGTGCACCAAAATGTCCAAAAAAGTGGACAAACATCCAAAAAATTGCAGCTCACCACAACAAACAGTCGTATGATACCATGTGGTGTGATGTTCTGCAATGCATGTGCATTGAAGGTGTGTTTGCCTTGATGTGTTGGGGCAGCACAATAAACCAACGCACATAACATCAATGCACGAGCTAACGCAATGCACTGCACTGGGAAGGTGTGAATGGGCTCTGAGCATGC